GTCCCGTTTTTGCTCATATCTCGGAGGCAAAATGAGCAAGTTGGTCTTTGGTCTTTTGGTCTTTTTAGAAAGTGAACCATGGATGGGGAAATGTTGGCAGTTTTCTCAAAAAATGCTTGAATTCAAGAATTTTTAGATTTGCGTGGTTTTTTTTGAGTTGCAAAATCCACTTGAACATGACGCTGCTTTTTTCGAAGTTTCTCAAGAACCATTCGAGCCACAGAATTCGTTTTGGCATAGTTGGATAGAGAATTGAATGGCCCCCATGACCCCCCCCCTTGGAAGTAGTAGAAACAAAACTTTCGCAAGACTAACGCCTAGAACAAGCACTTGAGTAACGGATCCGAAGTAAAGTCGTTCCGAGTACTCAACACACTAATTAAAAACCTGTATTATAGCCAAAACTTGCCGTTTTTGTTCATATAGCTAAACTGGAAAATGGGGACATGGAAAATCAGGAATTGAAAACAGCAGAAAATGGAATCGAACTTGCCCCGTCCAACAGAGGCCCGAATGGCATCGAAGCGCACAAAGAGGGCCAGAAAAGCGACGGTGCAGATACTTGCAACTCGCAGGCATCGAACCAATCGAAAAAATCCAAACACAGCTACGATAAGTACGAAACCAAAAAAATCTCGCTCACAAAAAACCTCCCATAATTGGTCAATTTTCAGATTGGCTCTGAGCAGGAGTTTGCTTAAAGACCTCACTTTGATTGGGCGTGGAGAGTTCGGCGACGTGATGGTGGCGAAAGTGAGCGAAAGTCACCTGTTTTTGGGCGAAAAAGTGGCGAAGCGCAGCTCGGACGGTTCGACGAAAGAGGAGGACCAGCCGGCTACGAAGGAAGTGGCGGTGTTGGTAAAAATTCTAACCCAAACCAAAGACGAGAACTGCCTGACGGAGTTCAAGCGGGAGATTGATATGTTCAGCAAACTCACTCATGAGCACATCACAAAGCTGTTCGGCTTGTGCAGAGAGCAGGAACCGCATTATTTGATCATGGAACACACTGAATGGGTAAGATTGGCAATGTCCATGTGGAGTTAAACAAATACTAATAGTCTGAATGTTACAGGGCGACCTGAAAAAGTTCCTGGTAGCCACCCAATCGGGTAGTCCTCCTCCGCTAACCACGTCTCAAGGTGTCGTGATCGCCTATCAGCTCAGTAGGGCAATGGATCATCTCTCCAACCATCGAATGGTCCACAAGGACTTAGCGGCTAGAAATTGCTTGCTCACATCCAGTTTGGTGGTGAAAGTGGGCCTGCCTCGCATGACCAAGGAGCCATACAGTCAGGAATACTGCAAACACGCAAATCAAGTGATTCCTTTGAGGTGGCTACCGTACGAAGCAGTGTACGAGGACGAATACTCGACGAAAAGCGACGTGTACGCTTTCGCGGTGGTGATTTGGGAGATTTTCTCGCAGGGAGAGCTGCCCCATAGCAAAATCAACGATAACAGCTTTTTGGCCAAATTGAAGGAGAAAAAATTGGAATGGAAAGTGCACGGCTCGACTCCTGAATCGCTACAAAAAATTCAGGTATGTTGGTTTTATCCATTGAAAGTTTCAACCTGAGTCAACGTGAAAACATCCAGACGACATTTCGAATGGGAATGGTAAAACTAAATTCATTAAAAAATTCAAGAAGCAGTTAAAAAGTACTGTTTCCGCCCGGGATCGAACCGGGGACCTTCCGCGTGTTAGGCGGATGTGATAACCACTACACCACGGAAACATGAAGACTAACCTTCTTGAAACATAACATATTTTCCCCGGGAACAGTTCAATACTTTCTCAGCTGGTTCTTGAGCTTGCTAAGTTAACGTGAAAAGTGAAAATACCTATACATATATTACAATGCCATTTGCCAGCAACTTGTATTGGTGGTGTTTCTTGGGAAATTAGATTTTCGACCACTTTTCTCTCGTTAAAGCTGGCAATTTTTTTAAAATAAGAAAACCCACCACGACGTCTTATTTTAAGCTACAAACACGTCCGATCATGTCGATGCTGTGCAGGCAAAAATCAATATTAAATTTTGTTCTGGCCAGGGGCGGATCCAGCTTTACATTCAGGGGGGGGGGGTTATGTAGAAAAAATACAGTCTTCTGTTGTCTATGAAATTAGAAAAATTATTGTCGTTTCGTGCAAGGGTGGAGTAAGATTATTGCAAAATTTCTTGTTTTCCGTCCCGTTTTGCATGTTTCTCGGAAGCAAAGTGAGCAAGAACGCTCGTTTTTACATCATTCCAAAAGAACTTAATGGCCTTTTTAGAAAGTGAACCATCGATAAGGAAATGTTGCAGTTTTCTCAAAAAATGCTTGAATTCAAGAAGTTTTAGATTTGCGTGGTTTCTTTTGAGATGCAAAATCCACTTGAAAATGACGCTGCTTTTTTCGAAGTTTCTCAAGAACCATTCGAGCCAGAGAATTCGTTTTGGCATCGTTGGATAGAGAATTGAAAAGTCGATTCAGTCGTAACAACGTTAGTGAGGAAATTCGAGTAGTTTCCATCGTTTGTCTTTAACGGACGATATTTTTCTTGTTATACAGGGTGGCCCAACAACGTCACTCCTCTTAAGGGGTAAAAAGGGATCACTTGGACAGCACGAGAAAAATATTGAATTTTTTTCAGCGAAAGCGTCAGATCCAAAATAAACGACAAGTTTGGTTCCACCTTATACGGACTAAGTAATAGGTTCAAAGCCGGTTCTGAGAGTGATTGCTACTACTGATGCAAATTGTCTTAACACGCTAAATTTACTTGACACTCGTAAATCCTTACTAGGAGAATTAATTTTGATTTTTATTTCAGGAACTGTGCTGGGATGTGAATCCCCAAAACCGCCCATCATTTTCACAGCTATCAACTGATATTAGCGAAATCCTAAAAAATCTGTAAATATTTCCCGCGTCGGTACTTATTAGGTGTTTCCCAATCGGTGTGGCTAATTATTCAGTTTCTTTCGAGAACTTTTTGGTCAATTATTGTCATTGTAAATGATTTCTTCCAATGAGAATGAGAAAATTGTTTTTGCTGAAAACAGCATTGGCCTAGACAAAGCAAATCCAAGTTGTAAGACTGTAAATATTTAATTTATACAACTATATTAGAGTATGCCCAATTAGGTAAGACATTAACGAATTATTTAATTCTAGAAAATAATTTTAGCTTCCAAATATGAATTTAATAACATTTAGAAATGAATGCACTGTTGCTCTATTGTATCTCTTTAGGAATAATTGTTTATATGTATAAAAATAAGTGCGTGGATTAAGGAGATGCGGATATTTTCTGTGAACAAGACTTGCCACTTTGAGTATTGTAATTATAATGGTCATTTATTATTTCGACTGATCTCAAATCATCCTGTTGTATTTGAAACTGTGGCCGCGTATTGGCATTAGATTTTTGCACAGATTTTATTTTGGGAGGCTCACAAGACTTATTATTTGTATCATCACGAATTAACGAATTAATTATTGTACATATCAGTACTTTTAGATTGGGAGATATACAGAATAATATTGGAATTGGAACATTAAATGCCGATGACTTTGGAGCAAACAAAGTAGTCTATATGAAGCATATCATCAAGTTTTCAATTGATTTTGTTCATATTTAAATGTTCAAGCCACCGAAACACTGCCATAATACTCCTATAGGCAATTATTGTTACTCCAAGTTTAAGACTGTGCGTTTCTGCAAGCAAATTGCGAATTTATGGTGTGTTTAAGGCATATTAATTTGTTAAACATCCTCCCTCAATATGTCACATGTTTTTTAATAGATGTACTGTGTAGAAAAATATATTATATTGTAACAAATGCCCATATTGAAGGATTAGAACAAGTAGCTATAATATACAAATCGTATGTATTTATAATTTTCAAGTAAAAACTGCCAATTTTTTTGTACTTTTTTATATGCTTTTCTAGTTAGTGTCGAAAATTGTTTAAGATACCTATATCTTCTTCCTACATAATGTTGAAAGTATCTAGGGATCTGTCCATGAATGTTATAGACCGTACAAGTATGTAATATGTAGCTTACATAGCCTGTAGCTTTTATATTCATAACGAATGCGCTATAGAATAGTTGTTTTGTTTTCTCTATTATCCTGTAATCATCCATATTGTGATACATATTCTAAACTATAATTGTAATTAAATAAAATGTCATGACACTGCAAGTAATTTCATTTATGTAGTTTTAGTAGCAATCCAATTTATTATCTGCAACAATATTTTGTTGATCTGGTCAATTGTTTTCTCTGTAATTTTGTTGAGTAAAAACTTCCGCCAACAAAACGCCCGAGTACAACTAAACCGAATTTATGTAAAAAATATTTTTTATCGTTTGTATCAGAAAACTGTAGCATGAACAATGCAAGATAATTGAATATCGGGTTAGGGCTTCGCCCCCTTGGTGCCAAGCCAGAAAAAATCAGGTAATTTTTGAGTTTCTCCGGCCTTGGCGCTCGAACTTTTATAGTTTAACTTATGGATATAGATAATTACTTTACCAGACACCTTTCTTTGTGCAGATTCTTGTAAATATGCGATTTTTCATTACTTTTCACTCATTAAAATTCACTACATTTTGATAAGACAGCAAAAGATTCCAACGTACACCGTATATGTCACAGCGATGCCACGTCGCCATATCAATATTTTGTTTGTACTTGATTTTTTCATCGACACATTTTGTACGCATTCGGGTTGATCTTTTTAGTTTTTTTCTAGTTTTAAATAGTGTTGGTGTAATTGGTTAACTGTTTCTCTTTTCTTTTTAATAATATTAGGCTGGCATCTCCACCAAATTGGGAATGTATCGACAGAGATTTGCTACTTTGGAAAAACTCTGGCAACATGTTGTAAAGATTATTTTTCCCCGTGCATGCCACAGCAATGCATCATTGCCATGATGGGAGGATCTTGTCTTGTCTTTATCTAACGGGGGACGCGATTGGACGGCTTCCAATAATGGCATCCTTTGTTATCTTATGGGAAATTGGTGAAATTCAAAGGATCTACATCGTAGAAATCCGAATTTCCACACGCAACACCACTAAAAAGTCGTTAGTACGAAGATTAAAATTACAGAAAAAGAATGAAACTGAAGGAAACATTTCAAAATTAATACAGCAGTGATAATTAATTAAATTATTAAATACCACATACTGATTACAAAGATAATTCGAATTAATCCTATCGCTATTTAAAAGCTTGCTCTCTATCCGATTCACAGCAATTTTCAATTCACTCGGCAACACTGCTGCGAATCTAACCTCAAACCTCACTTACGTAAGGGGCGCCCTAAAGTTCTGCTGGAAAGCTCTTATACAATAAGTTTTTCGCAAAAATGTCGGTCGGTTTTGTGCAAAGACGTTTTGCCTCCGCCTTTCAGCGATTCGCATACAACCTATCCGGTTTCAACAAATACGGACTATGGAGGGATGATTTACGGTACCAAGATGATGATGTTGCCGAAGCTCTGAAACGGCTAGACCAGAAAACTATTGATGAGCGCAATTACCGGATTCTGAGGGCTGTCCAGTGTTCGATCCAGAAAACTTATCTGCCCAAGGAACAGTGGACAAAATTGGAGGACGACAAGCTCTATCTCACCCCTATAATTGAGGATGTTGTCAAGGAGAAGCGTGAAAAGAAGGAGTGGAGCAAAAATTACTAAGATTGATTTATTTCATTTGCCTGTAGCAACGGTACAATAGGTTTGTGTAATTTGAATCAACCCAAGAAGTAGACTTTGACCTTTTCTTGTAGTTACTGCTAACTTAAGTTAATAAAACGTAACTGATATAAGTCTGCGTCAGAAATTTCTTAAAAATACACAAAGCAAATGGGTTCATCCTACCTTACTCAATTCGCCGCTTCTTCACAATTGACCCCAACTGAAATGAAACCCCGCGTCTAAATATGCACGCAAACAACGCGACTGGTAAACTTACCAAATCAGAAATTGCAGGCAGATTATTCGTTTGGTCACCCAAAGAAAGTTCGGGAGCAGCAGGGTTTTTAGAACCTTTAATGTTCCTGTGCTGGGGAAATGTGGGCATCAGTTTGGGATCGCACGCTGGAATTAAGAATTTCAGCTAAATTCGACTGGTTGAATGAACGGCTTACGCAGCGGTGGTTCCTTGAAGTAGCTGCTTTGAAGACATTCTTCAGCCGTAGCTCTCTTTCTTGGATCGTACATGAACAAGAAATTGAGCAACCTCAGTCCAGCTGCGGACAACCAAGGAAACTTCTGCTTCAGATTGTTGTAGGGCTGTTGTTTCAAGCTAAAGTTTTGCAACGCAGGCAAATTACTGAAACCAGGCCAAATTGCATCTGAGGGTGTTCCTAAAAAAACAATAATTCACGTGCACCCCGAATCGAGTCAATTCTAAAAATCACATACCTAACAAGTCGACAATTAGCTCCAGTTGCTGAATTTCGGTACGTCCAGGCAACAGCGGTTTATGACCTAGCAATTCCCCTAAAATGCACCCCGCAGCCCACATATCCACACTTGTAGTCTGAGTAGGAGCTTGCAGTAGCAGTTCTGGTGATCGATACCATAATGTTACAACATGGGGCGTCATCGGTCTTAGGGGGACCCCAAACCATCTGGCCAATCCAAAGTCGGCTGTAAAAATAGAGCCACTTGTCTTTAGCTGAGCAAACAACGATACAATCAATCTTATCATATCTTACCAATCTTCACACAGCCTTTGTCCGTCATTAGCAAGTTGGATACTTTTAGATCCCTGTGAACAACAAAGTTGTGATGCAAATAACGAAGCCCTCTAAGGACTTGCAGCATTATGCATTTCACTTGGGACTCGGTGAATGGGGCTTGCATGTTATCAAGCAGTGAAGCCAGATCTTGTTCGCAGTATTCCATGGCCAAGAAAATGCTAGAAAACCGGTCGCAACAGAATTCAAATGCACTCCTAGGGAGATTCTTACCTTTCCAGGCTTTTTCCCACAACAACCTCCTTAAGGTGTACAATATTTTCATGTTTGCAGTTCAATAAGACCTGAATTTCTCGAAGACTACTAATGGGGATGCCATCCCTTTCCTGATCCATGCGAACTTTTTTCAACGCCACAATCTGCCCGGATATCGTGTCCTTTGCCCTGTCTGAAAGCAGACAACTAGAATCTGATCTTGGATGTATGAGTGAAAACTTACAAACAATCCCGTAGGTTCCCTCCCCGATTCTGTTGAGCTTCTCAAACTCGGACACGAACCTACATCTGCCAAGCTAGAACAAACGTGATTTTAGTATTTACGTGCACGCATTTAAAGACATTTTATGCTGCAGCCTTACAATATCAGTATCAGGAATGTTCATGGGCTTGCCAGTCTGGAAAGATGTGAGAATGCCCTTCTTGGTAATGGGGGCGGATGGTTCGGCCCCATTTTCAATCTCGCGCCCCTTAATCTCCACTGAAAACCTTTATAGGTTAAGTACAGTGGGGAATGCTTGCCCCTTTATAGAGGGCGATCGATGGGAATGCGAATGATACTTACTGGGCTTCATGACATCAACACTCATTACAATCGAGTTTGAACGGTGATATTTGATTATTTGCGGAAAACTTTGGAAATTTGTTATTTGTTTAACCGGCCGTCAGTTGTCCGCTTTACACTTTACAAGCTGACCAACGCCTCAACATGAAACCGCCACTGTTATAGACGAATTTTGCATTGATTAAAGCGATAAGCCACTGATAAATTGATTTTTGAAACTAAATAGTTATTATTTGGCTGCATATAAAGGCTGATTAATGAGATTAATTGTATAATATTCATGTGCGTATGTTGGCAACTCTGTTTCTAACAACTTGACTTTATCTATGTTTCCGTTTCCAACCTCACTTAATTTGCTGTTTGAAAACTGAAAACATCGAACATCTTGGAAAAAGCCAAAAAAAGAATATTGAAAATATACTTTGATATACTTCAAGTCTGAAATCAACAGCTGGAAAGTTGAGTAAGTTCAAGTTAATTAAAGACGATTAATACACAGGGTGTTAGGGAAAATTGCACTTGCTTTAAGGCGGATATTTTTAAACCATGAACATTGAATTTCGATTAATATTTCATTAAGTCAAGGCAATTGCTTAATCAAAATTTTGTTTTCAGGGATTTTGATTTGCCTTTGCTTTCTATGATAAAGCTACGCCTTTTGTTGGAAAACACGGTCTAAAAATTGAAATTTAACGTTACTTCCCAATAAAACCTTCCTCAACTTCTAAACCAATAATGAAGTTAACAATCCCCCTCAAAGCAAATTATTCAAATTCTATTCGATCTACCCGCATAAATTGGAGAAAACAATCTATGATTACTTTTGTTTGTCTTATCAGATGTTCTGGGTAGGTATAACGCATTAATCAGGTACAACTTGCAAACCTGAAGTAATCGAAAAATGATTACCCGAATAAGATGCAAAAAATGTCGGAATATCTTATTGGAAAACAAAGAATCTGACCAACAACTGTTAAACGCCCATGGAGCTTCATTAAATGAAACCGGCACACCCTGTTCATCTGTAACGGAGCAAACGATGTGCTTTTTAAATGACGAAGTCCTGCCGGATTGGGCTAATGAGAAAATCGTGGAGAATGAATGGATTAGGGGGCGGTTGCATTGCCCCAAATGCCAGGCAAGGATGGGGGCGTTCGATTTTGTCTCCCGACAAAAATGCGAGTGTGGCCAAACGTTTTTACCGGCAGTTCACATCATCAAAAGCAAGGTGGATATTCTAAGGAACTGACATGAAAGTATCGACAATAAAATTTAAAAACTGTATATTAAAAACATCGTGATAACACCCTAGGATAAAATAATACAGAGATATAAAATATATATGGCAAAATAACCTACCACCGTTTTATATAAATACGATAATAAATATTATTGTTTATTTGAGCAGTACATTATTTGGTTTGGGTATTTCCTTAAGTAAATGTACTTAAACCGTAACGTAAACAAATAGTAAGAAAATAGACAGGACAGATTAGATTCAAGATTATTGTCATTTACTAATATTTGCCTCTCAATGTACCCTAATAATAATTTTTAATTAAACGTACTTCCAGGATATGTATTAAGGTAATTAATTATATTAAGTGCGTTAGAATACGGACGTCTAGCATGGAACATTTATGTTGGACTATTAAAAACCTTAATGAACTTCGCATTTTGTTGCATGCTAGAGGCCCATATGGTATAAGGTGCCTTGGTTCAACTTAAAGGACTAGATATATAAAATGTTAATATAAGTAGTTTGATATGATTGCTTTTGATTTTAATATCAAAATATTAGAGTATAAAACGTAACTGCAAACAGTCGGTATATTGAAATATTGGACCACCGAAGAAATTCGTTAATAGAAAACATGCCAATTAAATGCATTTCAACAGCGCACCATAAGTTAAGTAAAACTTTCATTAAATGCCCACCTTCGAATTAAAAAAAATGAGTAAATAGTAAAACTCGGATCGCAATTTCTGAATAAGGTAACTTAGCTCTACAGTCAAGTACAAGACTTCAGACCTTTCAAAGTAAATATTCGCGTTATTCCCTACTACTTACCTTAGTTAATTACGTCATGTTCCTATCGAAGTCACTGCTGCTTGCAGCCCCCGTCCTTAAACTTCTTTTTTTTCTTCTCAAGCGACGCCGTCCGCCTTTGGCCCTGAATTGGCATGTAGGGCGGCGCCGGGCTGTTTGAAATAAAACTTGGATTACCACAGAAATCAAACGCACCCCCACCTGAGCAATTACCTATCGTCATCATCATCATTCTCGGCCAATTCAAGCGAATGGGCCAACAATCCGGGGCTGCTACTCGAAGTGCTAGTTGTGACTGTACTTGATGTGGTGTCATAACTAGACGGAGGCCTATAAGCCCCTCCGCGCCTGGAATAAGTCGGGTCGATAGCCATCGCTATGTTTGAGTGCAGCGGGGATGTGCCTCCTACAGTTCATCAATGTATTGTCTTTTTGTAGCAAGAGAGCCTGGATTACCTGAAAGGCTGCCGCTGCTGGTATTGGCCGTGCCCTCACTGGGTTCAGGTTCCGGCATCCGCGGCTTAGCAATGCGATTCAAAGGGGACCTGAAAGTGCATTGGGCGCCTGCCAGGTTCAGAGCCTAACTAATGTAAGACTCACCTTAGTTCTAAATGGGTTGGCCTTGCGCCGCCTCCCATCACTTTTTCCGGGGTGGGGTTTGATGGGGTTTTCCTCGGGCTGAAACCCTGCGCACCTAATTGTTCCCGATCTCCCACCACATCAGCTGGCAGGCTGTAGCTAATGTCCTCCTCATCGGGATTCGGAACATTGTAAATGTCTGGCACTGCGGAGATGTTTCTGGGAACATTGGAGACCGACTGTGTGATGAGATCGGCCGGAAGAGCGTATGAATCGTCCGGCAAAATCTGCCCAGCTGTTGAAGGCAGCGAGTCTGGAACAGGCCCAGAATCCTGCTGCTGCTGTTTTTTGGACAACGCCTTTTGCTTGGCTCTTTCTCGGGCGCGCTTCGCTTTCGCTCTCTCTCTTTCTTGAAGCAACTTGGCCAGCTCTTTGTCCTGGGCCTCAATGGCCATCATGCGGTCCCTATTCAAAATCGTGTCCTCAATGTTTCCTTCTTCATCTTGCAGCTTGCGGGCCAGTTCGGCGTCTTTTTCCTCCTGGATTTGTCTGCAAAAACTTGATGCCAACATCATTTTTCCCAAATGGTGCTGATCACCCTACCTTAAAGTAAGCTGGCTGAGGGAGATGTTAAAATCATCTTCGTCCGGAACAACATCAATGCGATTGACGTCTTCCACTTGCCGAGATGGTTTGTAGGGCTCAGTATACAATTCTGCACTGTTGGCTAAGTGGAAACACCATCAATTGCTGGGGTTTACCGTGTAGATTTCTATGGAAGCTTACCGGATGTATAGAAATCCGGCCTCTTGTCCAGAAGGGAAGTTCTGGGAAGACCATTTTCGGTAGGCAATGGCATTGGTAAGCCTTGCCGCCTTGGTAAATGGGGCAAATTGGGCTGTTCCTTCGTTAAACGCGGCGAAAGCGGCTTAGGCCTGGCAGGCGAAGCATGCACTGGTTGAGGAAGAAGCTGCTGATGCCTTTCAACCTGGCAGTAAAGTGGATGTTTATCCAATTGAAGAACTACGGTTTAGTCGGTATATACCTTGAGCCGCTCGTTTTGCAACATTTGTCTAGCGATGTCCTGGTCGCGCATTTCCACTGCCCGCTTCTTCATTCTTTCTTCCCGCTCTAGCCGGTCGGCCAGCTCTTTGGCCACCTAATCAAAATTCATTATATCCACCGTTTCAACCTATATGAATGGTCCGTACTTTTATGTCGTGTTCTTCCTGTTCTTGCAACATCCGATGGTAAATAGCTGCCGCTTGTTCGGCCATTTCCTGCTCTTTTTGCTGCTCATTCTTGGCCCGCGGAAAGTCTTCCCTTACAACCGCATTTCGGAATCGATTACCCGATAGGTGATCGGTGAATTCTTCGTTTTGAAGCCGGTAAGCCAAGGCAGAGTCTTCACGTACCATCCATTCCTTTGAAGGAGATTTTCAAGGAAAGACAGTAAGCTTTAAATTGGATTTTACGTAGTATTTTTTTGAAAATGTGTAAAGAATGGCTTGATGGAAGATTGATAAGGGGCCCAATCTGGGTTTATCAAAAGCAAATATTTATAAAACAAAGATTAAAAGTTTAAAGGCTTATTCACTACTGTATCGGTTTAGTGCGTGTTGTTTGCTTCTGCTGAGCCTCTAATCTTGATTGGGCATGTTTATTAAATCATTCTTCACCGCGTTTATTATTACTCATTAGATAATTGCACGAAGATTACAGTTGAAAAATTAATCTAATCTATTAACACTTCTTATCTGCCCAATTCTCAGCCTTCTGATTCAATTCATTTGCAATAACATATTGCGCCAGTCCACAGAGCTTTGTGGAACCCCCCCGGTATAAAATTCCTCGATAATTATTAAACGATTTAGTTGAAAATGTACCTGGCAAACTTCGTTAACTCTTCCAGTTTTTGGCAGCGCCTCTTCCTGAGTGAATCTGGTGTTGGACATTTTTTTAACTGGAAACATACAGTTCTATCACAGACTACATTGCCTAGTCACCAACACCGGAGGGTTATAAAAAACAAACTTTAATTACACGCGGAATTAGCATGAAAGCCAGTCAATACCCGCAACAAAAATTGCATTTCCTTTCTTTCTTCAGGTGAATTCCACAAAATATCCCCCCTGGGGGTATGTTCTGTGGGTGAATTCTTGCAAGAAAAGAGCAAGTCGGAGGAATGTGAGATGAAAAGAGTCAAAATAAACAAATTGCTGACAGCAGCTGCCACCGAGCAATCTTCTTCTGTATATTTATTTTACTCATTTATTCCCAAAATACTCTCTAATTGCACAAAATTTAGTTTTTGATTAAATTCACTCAACGTCTACAACTAAAAACATGCAATAAAAAACAAAGTGCAAAACTTGAGAACATAGATAAAGACAAGTGCTTGAGAAMTTGAAGAATCTCAGTACCTAACCTACAAAAATGTTTTGAACTTGTTCACAGCTACTCGTCTTTATCTATGGTTCACAGCAGCTTCTGGTACAGGTTTTCCACGTGAACTTCGTTTTTCTTGATTTTTTGGCAAAAGTCGGCCTTAAAATGGTGGTGTTCACTTGTAACCATTGCGGGGAATCGCTGCATAAGCCCAAAGTGGAAAAACACTATCAGTTTCAATGCAGGAACTACAAATCGATGACTTGTGTGGACTGTTTCAAAGACTTCAAGTAAGCAAATGCAGCCTTTCTCGTAGCTTTTATTAATTCAGCTTTGCTTTAAGAAATGAGGAATATTCCGTGCATACCAAGTGTATCACAGAAGATGAACGGTATGCAGCCAAAGGCACTTACAAGAATGGCATTGTTAAGAAAGGGGAAGTCAAGCAGGAAAGCTGGCTCGACATGATTAGATCGATATGTGAAACGGAGAAAAACCTGAAACCATCAATAAAGCACTTATTGGAAACTATATCAGAATACACAAATGTTCCCAGGAAGAAGCAAAAGTTCATGGTGAGAGTTTATTCGGCAAAATAAGCCTTGCATTCAACTGATTTTTTATTTCCATGATTCGCTAAACATCCAAATCTTTTTCCATAGAATTTTATCAAGAGCTCATCGGGCAATCGAGTGAGTATGCAAGAAGTGGAACAAATCTGGGACATAATAGAAAAGCATAAAAATGCCAGCACTGCTCAACCAAAAGAGCAACCTCAGCAAGAGACACTCAATAATAAGCGAAGCTCGGAAAACGAAGACCCTCCGAGCAAGAAACAGAAAAAGAATGGAAATTCTGCGCCTGAAGAAAGCCAGCAGACAGTGAATGAGCCGGACTCAGGCAAGCCAAAGTTTGACTACGCACTGAAAATCCTCGAAATATTGCAGGAAAAGCAAAGTATATCTCATAAAAAGCTACAGAAGAAGATATTGAAAGCATATCGGGGTGCAACAGGACAAAGCGACTGTGAGGAAAAGGTAATTAAAAAACTCAATAGGAAATTGAAAAAAATTCCTAATGTTGTAATTGAACAAGATACAGTATCGTTACTCAGCTAAATCACAAATACACAAGAGTGTAAGAAGTGGAGTGGTTTTTTTTTCTAGTTTTCAATTTCCCTATATCTTTTCCAACAACTTTGGAATCACATAATTTGTTTGTAACAAGTTAAAATCGGACTAGAAAGCATAATTTTGTTTTTGTTTTTATGAAATGTGCTCCAAAATAATAAGCGAGTTTAGATAACGTCAGCCTTTAGTAGCTCTGAGTGAGAGCCATGATAGTAAAATTAACATCTTCTGAGTCTCGCTTGATAAATTCCTTGCATACTTTGGCAGCATCCTAAAAAAAATAATTAGCGCAAATTGTGTGAACTCGTCACATCGTACCTCCAAAAATGAGTCATCAGTAGTGGCTCCATGGTTGATTGGAAAATCTTTTCTGCCATCTAATTCGTACAAATAACCACCTTTTTGTACCAAAGCTACAAAGTGGTGGTTCACTTTTTCATTGGGGTTTACCTGAATAAAAATGTTATTAACTTAGAATGGCCTTAAACTGGGGTAGGAAAAACTGACTTCAGTCTGGCCCTCCATAGCTAGTTCTTGATGTGCAGTGATTAGCTTGTAAGCATCCGAGTTGCTGTTCATGTTCATCAACATTTCCCCTCTTTGCTCAGGCGTTAAGTTTTTCGAGTCGTCCAGTATCTTGCTGAACATTCCATTCTCTAGTTCCAACCTACCAAATAATTACTTTGATTTGTAGGAATGTGTTCATGTTATTAATTGATTTAGTTATTACTACCTCTCAGCATTATTGGCCACGCTATGAATCAATGCTATGCTTCCGCAAGCATTGCTAACATACTGTTTCATATAAAAAATGTCTTCGACCACAGTTTGGCCCTTTTCCTTAATCTGGTCGGCTTCCTGCTTCGCATATTCATAAAACTGAAACAGTTAAGTGCTGTGAAATAATTTAAGAACCAAAGTGGTCAATATATTTACTTTGTCACTGCAAGGAAATAGGAGAATGAGTGCTAAAACTGGCCTAGGAACAAAGGCCAGTGCATCTGGATCCAGTCCATATACGTCGACGATGTTCCATTTATCAGGAACGCCCAGCAGATGAATGAACTGAATAATATTTTAATGTCTTAGTTTGTTTTTAATATTTTATGACTAGAACTCGCTTCGTGTTTACATTTCGATTGATTCAGCTGTTTCAATAGAATTAAAGCCTGGACAATGGAACTTGAGTTCTCCTATTGGCTGATTATTTCGCAAACAGTGCTTACTAACATTAATTAAATAACCAGGTGAATGTCGTAGTAAGGCAAAAAAAACTAAGCAATGTTCTCACTTTTAAAGCAAAATTGTTGCGCTCCTAATGCTGAATTGTATGTGTTTTTTAAGTCCCAAAGCCCATTTCAATCGCACTTCATCAGAAATTTTCAAGTTTTATCAAAGTGAAACCTGCAAATCTGCACTAATTCATAAAAGAAAATGGAAAGTGTCACATCTGTAGGATAGATATTTCAACAAGACCCGACTTCTTACCCTCCACTATTAATTATTGACTAAGGTAAACATTTGTTCATTATCAGTATGTAGTATTTAAAGTAGTTAAATAATTTACCTTGTTCATAACCTAAAAAGAAAGGAATAGAGAACTCAATTACCTATGAAAATATTGCCAATTACCTCTGGGTTGGATTCCAACGGTAAGAGGGACATTTTTTTGGATTCTGAACACTGTGTGATTGGAAAAGCCCTAAAATTCTGATGACAATACAAAACCGGTCTATTGTTTACAACACTAAACAGTAGCGCATAGAGTCTGTGCGCATAGATACGACTAGCGATCAATTTGTGTTTGACACTGCGGCGTTGCTAGTTGAATATTTTCTGTCGCCATTTTTTCTGCCAATGACGTTTTCTATTATAATTGTTTTATTTTCTTTGATTATACGAGCCCAAATAAACTCTGTTTACAATTTGTCTTTCCGAATTCCTCAATTTTAAATATTGACGTTGCATTTGGCGTAGCAAAACAAAAAAGTTATATTCAGGGATGCCAGGTCTGGATAACAGGACAGAGTAACCTCTGTGATCTGTGGTGAATAGTCTGTGGTCTTTATCTGTGACCGGTTTTAAGTTATGTATTAACTTATTAAGGTAAATAAACAACAATTATATCGACATCAATGCTGCAGCTTAGAAAATGGTAAGAAAACTACGAAGATAAATCTTTAACTGAAAGAACACACAACAGACAAAGATTCTTTTCAGACCACTCATAAAGGCACATTGTGTATTAAAACGGTAAAGCAATTACAAGTGGATCCTGGAATCAGCCCCACATGCGATTTCAGTCTAGGGGAGGCCTTGGCTCAGGTCTATCCGTTATTAGATTTGATTTTCGAATATTTGCCCTTAGGGGACCTGAAGTGTTGCCTCGAAGTGTCGACCACATGGAAGGAAACGGCTGAACAAATATTGGACAGAAGAGTGGCTCCAAGCTGGTTTACGTGCTTTAAAGTGGGCGCAAAAGGGTGTAAAAGCAACACTATTTTACATAGCCCCAATCTGAACTTCAACAATGTGGAGATGGGGTTTATTTTGTATGATAGCCTCCAACTTGAGCTGAATGCGTATATTTGTTTGCACCGGAATACGTCTGGACTTAGTAGGAAATCAGGTTGAACAGTCAGCCTTTCCACATCCACAAATTCCTTTATTTCCCTTGTTTTTAGTGCCGGACTACTTGGAAGACGAACTAGTTCCGAAATCAGTGAATTATTGCATGTTAGCAGTGGACAGGGTTGTTTCCATCTTCAATACTAAGCGAAACATGAAAGAAGTTGAGGTACATTTATAACCACTCTATTAACCAAAGCGAGAAAAGGTCATTGGTGTTTCAGTATCATGGATCCATATTTGATGGGGTGTTTTTTCCTAAAGTCCCATCCATACGGACAGTACTGTTTCACTGCGATATCTCTAACAGAAAGACGGTTCAGGCGACTGTAAGGAAGCAGATAAGACGAAATGAGGAGCCCAAGTGTATTCTAATATTCACTAAATATAAAGCGGAGAGAGGCATACAATTCTTGTTGAAATGCCTGGTGCCAGAGTAAGTAGAATTATTTTAAATTTTTTAGCCAAATCTGGCTGGCTTTGTTGCTCTATAATCACGGAATATTTACAGTGAAGACGTAAACTCCGTAGCTTTCGGCGGTGGAATAATCAGAGGATCGAGAATGTTCCATCGAAATGCGAACGATGAGATCTTTCCCTTTGAAGATACAATGTGTATACTGTTCTTAAAAGATGAAGATTACAAAGAAAATAATTTCGAGGCGTTTTCATGTGTGATAAGTGAAAAACAGACTGAAGAAGAATTTAATTCGCAATTGCAGCATGTAAGAACTATTTAATTGTACGCGTTTTTTCCATTGACAAGCTTCTTCAGTTCAAGGAAAATATCAAGCTAAAACATCACAGCTTGGGGTTTCGGATATCTTGTTCTTCTGATCTCCAGGAAACTGAATTGGAAGCATTTCAGGCGACATTTCCTGGTCTTCCGCTGCTAGGGGTGTACGCTGCAGGGGAATTGGGATGGAATTGTTATCCTAATGCCCTAAACCTGGAACCAAGTGCGTAAAACCAATTACTTCCGTCTACTGCTGTTTCACAATCTTGTAACTTTCAGATGTAGCGCCGTCTAAACCGAAACGACTGCGGAAAACTGTAGAGCTTCCCAGAGTCCTCAATTACTTTTCTACTATTTTTGTACTGCTCACTTGGGATAAGTAGGTTGTTAAGTATTGCTTCATACTTCACTGTTTGCTATTTATTGATTTAAATAAAGCTGACCAGGTTTAATATAAAACTTATCTATTTATTTAACTTAAGTTATATTACAGTTTAGTTATTTGCTCAAGTCTACCACTTTTTAAAACCACCTCCTCCGCCGCCGCCACCACCACTGCTTCTAAAACCGCCACCACCACCTCCTCTGCCAAAACCACCGCCGCCGCCGCCGCCAGAGTTTCGGTTAAATCCTCCTCTTCCCTGTCCGCCACCTTCGCCGTTTCTGAAGCCTCCTCCTCGGCCTCCGCCGCCTCGCCCACCTCTGCCCCCAAAGCCTCCTCCTCCTCTGCCGCCAAAGCCTCGGCCACCCCCCGGGCCTCCACGGCCTCCGCCTCTACCACCTCGGCCAGGTCTTTTCTGAACTGAACCTGGCGGTTTTGGAAGGAACCTTTGTATGGGGAGTAGTTTCGCAGGATCGATGAATAGCTGGAAAGTTAAATAATAGTTTTAGGAATTAATTTAAAATACAAACAAGATAAGGAAAAAACCCGTTACTATTAATCAAGTTTGATGCTTAACGCATTTACCTTTTGGTTTTTCTTGAAACTGTTAGCTCCCATGTTGTCCCCTAATCGAATGGTAACCGAGTAGTCTCTGATATTGCCAAAGATTTCATCGATTTTTCCGATCTGTTCCTTATTTTCCAAGTAGATGGGGGCATTGAAGAACGGCACATCGGGTATTTCTACTTTGCACACTAAATCGTCTTGCACTGTATAGTCGTAATAGCCCAAAGGAATTACCTAAGACCAACCAAAAAGCAGAATAATCTGGGGGTGCTTTTAGTAAGCCAGATGATGTTCCTTACTTGCTCTGGAGGTCCCTGGTCGAAATTTCGTCCACCTCCGCCTCCTCGACCGCCAAATCCACGGCCTCCTCCTCTTCCGCCGCCGCGTCCTCCTCCAAAACCTCTACCACCGCCTCTGAACGACATGCTGCAGAAACAAAAAAATTCTTGTGATGATTATGTTCTTAACTATAACTTAACACGTGGAGTGGTTAAGTTGCCGGTATTCTGAACAATTACGACACCAGATGAAGTGCACTGGTACTTACATGTTTATACACGTACGCTAAGAACGTATTTTTTGTATTTGCTTTAAAAAATAACGGGGTTTTTAATCAAAACCGCGTAAAATGCTTTTGAGTCAAACATACACAACTAATGTACCATTAATGTACACATGTGGACAAACATAACCGAGTTCTCAACTTTTCAAGATATCAGAATGACATCTTTCAACTGTTCCTTTTTTCGAAGCAGGTTGCCAAAGCACGCACTAAATCTCACTGCAGGAAATGTTTATCGCAAATAATTTTTGCTAGCTTTTATGAGACAAAATCATCCCAAAATAGTCGGTTTGTAACCATCAGGCGCGAAGCATTATCTTATTTAATGTCAGAATTTTTTTCTTAAAAATGGCTTCGGCACGAATGGCGCACATGGCATGAGCACGCACGCATATCCAAAGTGATTAGGTTTTTATTCGGGAAAATAAACTAGGTGACAGAAAAAGTTCGAGTAAATACCAATTCGCCTATTCAAGTAATTATTAAATTTTGCTTTCAAAAATAAGTATATTTTCTTACATACACACACATTGCCATTCAAATATCCTAATAGTATACCTATCTTTAACAGTTTTCCTTAGGAACATATATATTACATAAACATTTTAATACAATTCGGTTCATAAAATTACATTTTACACTATCGACTAGTTAAACTACATGCACATGAAGCTCTTATCACGTAACTTATCATATATAATTTTAAAACGCATTTGATTAGAAATCACTTGTTTGGTGTGTTCGTTTAGAAACATTTTTTTGCTAAAAGATATTATTTTGAATAAAAAAAACGAAATAGTAGATATGTATTTTACATCAACATAGGTTCATTTGAAAGCAAAGTGTTGATCTCTGAATATCACACAGTTTTACACAGTTTAGATGTACGGGAGAATTAGCGCACTTTATTGCTAGTTGGAAAGTTATCTGTTGATAAATTGATAAAAATAAATTTTTCACAGACTCAAGTGACTTATTTACCCTAATTTTATACACCCACATACTATACCATATCGAAGGCGATCAGAAAATTCCAATTAAAAGTTTTACATAGTAAAAATAATAAAATTGTAAGGTATTTGTACCTAATTGCTTACGAGTTATTTAGCATCTCCAAACATTCATTATTTCCTACAAGTATATCACATCCGCATTATCGGCTAAAGACGCGGTTTGCAGCTTCTTGCAAAGGAGTGGTGAGTTCCAGGCTGGATTCATGGTAGTGATGATCGTGGTCTCCGTTAGGACCATGGGAATGCTCATGACCAGCTGAAACAAGCAGAAATTTGAAGAAATTATTCAGAAATTAAAGCTAAAATGAAAAAATCAGCTTCCAGTAGAATGGGAAGAATGAATTCGCTCATGTGGGCCTGGATTGGAATGATTTCAATTGATCAATTTGGTGACAAACTTGAAATTTTTTGTGTGGGCAAATTAACGTACTCGTGAACTTTTAGCAAAGTCCGGGTTTCAATTCTTAGACCCAAAAAGTGGGTTTAATTTAGCACGTTCTTTCTGAGAACGTCTTGCACTTGCCAGCAAAAGTGAAAGTTTAAATGGGCAATAATTATCTAGCCATTCGCTGGTTTTTTTTAAATGTTCAATCAATGCGGAAGATTTTGTTTCCAGTCACGGTTAACTAGAACTAGTTATCCTTCAAGGATATTATTGGTGGTATGTTAACAAAAGAACGTCCATTCACAAAGCAGCCGATTGTTGCTTCACTTACGGATACCGAACTTTGCGAAAACAATGATTTATTGCACTTGAAATGAAATTCAGTCGCTGAACGCGACTGAATTCTTGAAATATAAATTTATTGCATTATTGGTTTCATTCATGTTGATTCAACTGTTGCAAAAAACAAATAATAGTAAATTGTGGCTCATTTGAAGGCTCAGTGATGGTGGCTCAATTGAAGACGATTCAATAGACTTAACAGCCAAAACGTTGTAATTATTAAACAATTTATGCAATTCACCGATCTTCGAAGTCTCGAAAAAGACATTGTGTGCATAAACAGTAGAAACAAATTTTCTTTTATATATTCCGCATGCGTTCTTTGCTTCCTAGCAGTTACGAGCTCTGAATTAATTCTTCCTGCTGGACAATAAAAAAATTGTCATCAAAATTGGAGTAATGGGTAGACAAATTGAATCGATTTTTCGCAGCAAATAGTGTTGTAAATAATGCACAAATGGAACATTTTCAGATTTTTCAATTACCTTACTAAATAAGTGAATGAAAGGACACATTCTACTTTTCATAGAACAGCGATGACTGCAAAGAGCGAACTCTACAAATGCAGAAAAAATTCAAAAAAGAAAACTTTGATTCAAGAAAGAATGTTAGGTATACGACTGTCGCTTGTAAATGATCAAAACCAATTGATTTTGAAGAACAGAATTACAGAATATTTGAAGGTGATATATAGAAAACAACTTGAAAGACTGTAGAACCAACTGAGGATTTCAAATGTACCTCCATAGAAAATAATTTCTCCCTATCACATTTTGGCCTCACAGCATTAGTGGTAATTGTTGTGCCCAATCCGGGAAATTGCACTTTAAATCGCCATTATATCATTACGTGACTCAATGAAGTAGAACCGGAATATCTTAAGTGACAATTTTACATAACTTGTCTAACTATGTGGCCTATTGTTGAAACCACCAAACAATTACCAAGTAATTGTTTGAAAACCACTCTATTTGCTAAACTTCTATGCGCAAAGTGCTTTCGCAATCTTCACATCCATATTAAACTCTCTAGTCAAAAGAAATGAGGGAAAAGTCAAAACTGATTGCTTTGTGAACTCGAATTTCTTCCTAACGTTTCGCAAGCACGAGTGGTTTGCACCTTCAGAGGTGTGCCACAGGTGGCTTTAACTTAGATGAAGATGCAAGTTACTGGTGTTTGCGGAACACCAGAAACAAACTCGATTTCACGAAGACAAACTCATCAGTTTGAAACTTTTGAGTGATTTATTTTTGCTGCAATTTTTGTACAATTTTCAATTAAAAATGGCAGACCGGCTACAATCTAGACCGTCCAATGTGTACAATGAAATAATTCTGCGCCATTTGATTGAATCAATTTGATCAGCTTTTCTTATGAGAATATGATTTATTTTTGAACGGAGCTGCATATACTTTTAAGGCATTTTCCTCCGGTTGGTTGATTTAGAATCCTAAACAATTTAAAAAAACGCGTTTTTGAAACCTTGGATGAAACAAATTTAGCAAATGAAACCAGCTGAAGCGCACGCGACAAATAAATTCAAAAAATCAATGACCGGACTTAAACACCATCACTACAAAGATATGGGAAGAACATATATAGTCAAAACAATGTATCGGAATCCGATTATAGAAAGTAGGGTAACAACATTATCATGTGATTCTCGAAAAAGCAAAAGTTGCTATTGAAAGGTTATCGACGGTCATTCCCTGGTGCATGTAAACCGATTGTAAATCACGGTTGACCGCATATAGAAATCCACTTAAGAGCAAACAGCAGAAAAACCACCTTGACTCCACACTGTTGACAATTGATTGTCTTGAGAACTCTTCCTCTGATCAATAGAGCATCGGATAATCCTTGACACGTTTGGGAAATTTGCGCTTCGCAGCGTTTCATCCATGAATTCGAACTAGATTCTTGAAATCTACTCGCTTCTAGCTAAATGCATAGTTAAGTTGTTTCACTACGCAATTGTGCAATGGCAAGTGGCTAAGTTGTGTGAACTTGACCCGAATCGGCAGGTTAAAGTCGCATTACCGTCGTTAAATTCGATAATTGGTCGGGTTAAATTTAATTGGGAAGAAACACTATCCGTGAAATTCGTTTTTTAATCCATTAATTCACTCTAATTTGAGATCCGTATTTTTTGCTTGCATTTGCTCGGGAATTCAAAGTTTTTCTGTTCATTGCATCACAGACCCCTGAAGATGCTTGCCATGCGTGTTAGCGAAACGTCATGACAAAATTCTCATTGGCGACTACCAAATAACCGGAACATTAACAATTCTTCAATAATTTCCCAAATTCAAAGTTGACCAGTTTTTGCAATCAGGCCTTTGTTCTGGCTTTGGACCTCCATCCAACTATTCAATAAAAGTGAAAATTTGCAAAAAAATTAATTTCTCCAAACTTTGCCTCGCCCGAAACTCAAATAATTTCAGCAGTGAATGTATCAAGTTGGAACGTAGCAACGCGCCGGCCATATTGCAGCCTCATGGAACTCCATCTGTGCGAGTGAGAGCACACACACCAGCCACGTTCCTGAATGGAACACAGTTTCAATTATCTTGATTCGCATCAGAGTGTGTGCATCCGCTGAATAATCCGAAAAAGACGAACTGTTGAAACATTTATTGTTTCTGGAAAACAAATATGAAGTTTTGAAGACAGCCAAACCTATAAAGAATCAAATGTTTCCCAATTATGGGTTTGTTTTGACTGTTTAATCTGATGATGGAGCTGTTGTCCCGCCGAAACGTAATATGAACATTTTTATTTCACATTTTGATTGAAACCCAGGAAAGGAAAAATATAATAACAATTGGTTTATAATAAATATTAATCGAATCATTGATTTTGATCCGCTAAAACTTTCAAAAGCCGCTTTTTAATTAATTAGAAGCCCAAATTTCTAAAAACTGAATAGGAAACAGCGTTATTCAACTAAAGTGAGTGCAATCGTTGATGTTTTACTTCTTTCGCCCGTCAGGTGTGCGTTCCAAATACAGACGAAAACCGATTGCAAATGTTCGCTCAGTTAACGCAGCCTCCTTATTAGAGAAAATAGAGAAATACTCACTAAATGTTTGCAGAGTGAACATGAACATGAATCCGACTAGAATGGCCAGCAATTGCCAAACTCCGCTATGATTATTGTCCCGTTCTCGGGCCAACACCTCGAAGAACACCACGTAAAGGAGAGTACCAGCTGCCATGCCTTGAAGAACCACGCAAACCACATTCTCATTATTCTCCACATTGCTCAAGATGATGCCAATGCCGATTCCTGCAACAATAAACAGCAATGCTCAGTCTTCAACATCGCAATAACCTCATCTCACAAAACTCCAAATATTACCCCAATTAACGTCCTTTTAAATTGAATCATTCATTACTTACCTATGGGGGTAACAATGGCAAGCGTGCCAATATACAACATCACCAACATGACTTTGGTTTTGGTGGACACCAACTCAACTCCCACACAAAATGCGATCACCAACTTGTGGGTTGCGATGGCCGCCAACAGATACCAAACTTTATCCGAACTCTTTTCCAAACCAACGGCCAGCCCTTCGAAGATCGCGTGGAAACTCAGCGCTAAAACGGCCAAGAAACCGCTGAACGGATTGTTGATGCTGCCATCCATTGAGGCATGACTGTGTCCGCCTCCTTGTTTCTCCACATTGATGGTGGTTTGCGACTCAAGCAGCTCCTTATTGGAGTTGGAGATGTAGCTGATGTTGCCATCGTCAAACTTTGTCAACGTTACCCTGGGGATGGTCATATTGTCTGTTTTGCGCGAACTGATTCGGATCGAGAGCGACCTGGAGTCAGGAATCAAGAAATTGATCATCAAGCCCCCCGAAGAGCCAAAAATGAGCATGAGACCCACCTGCGTAATGTCTCATTGTTGCTTTTCCTGTCCAGAAAAGCGTGCACCAGCTCTTCGATCAGGTAAACCAGGAAGAATCCGAAACAGAACACCAACTCGGACGGAGGAATTCCTCTCATGTCAGGCATCTTACCATGGGCCTCCAGCGTGTTGAAAAACTCCCTCACTTCTGGTTGCAGATGGAGGAAGGTGGTGAAGAGCAGAACGCCGCCGCCAAAGCACAGCATAAGAGACAGAAGAAGGTTCTTCTCCCCATCCAGATTAGTCAACGAGACCATCTTGGCCAGCTTCACCGGAAGAAGACCGATGATGAACGAAGACATTCCCAGCGCTATCATTGCCACCACTTTCGCTATTAGGGCGTTGTCTTCACCAGCCATGGCTACGGAGTCTTTCAGAACCGCTTCCATCGTTTATTTGGGGGGTTTTCTTTAGTTGCTAGAAGGTTTTTTCGCTCAGTGGAAGCTGTAGCTGACCATTCTTTGAAGAACCTTTGAGGAAACCTGGTAAAAAATCGATATGTTGGTCATGTGAACATTTTCAAGCTGAAGATGTTGAAAATGGAGAATATGACATCGCTCTAAATTCTGTAAAAAGTCTGCATTTTCCAACATAAATAACCAAATTGTATTAATAATAATTATTAAATAACCGTATCGAACGACTATTTCAAGACGAATTTATTTTTTAGGGATTTTTGGCTTGTTTCTCTCCATAGGAAGTTTTTTACTCCATTTAATGTGTACTTTTTTCTGCAATTTTTTGTTTCCAATTCGTTCCCTTTTATGTCTTTTCCACTGTTTATTCTGCATTTGATCGTTGCAGCTTCATGTTGTCTCACAGTTTATTGAAACTGGTGAGTTTTTCGGCCGGAAAGCTCAAGAAAATTAAATGAATCAAGAAAAAAATTCAAACTGACGAAATTGTCGAGAATGGAAAACATCGTTTTAAATTGATGTTTAATAAATTAATTCCGGCAGAAAATGTCTCTATTTTTCAACATAAATGTACAGATTAATATTTTTATAATTTTACAATTTTTTTTAAATTATTTTCCTGACTGCGTGTAATTGTTATTATATTTTTTCTTTCCTGGGTTTCAGTCAAAATGTGAAATAAAAATGTTCATATCATTTATTTCATATTTTGACGTTTCGGCGAGACAACAGCGCCATCATCAGATTTAAAATTCAAAACAAAATTGGTTTTTTTTTCTATCTAATGAAAAAGAATCTAAAGTTTCCCAATTATGGCTTTGTTTTGAATTTTAAATTCCGTTTATGTTTAATTTTTTCTGTTCCTTATTCGTTCTCTTTTCTTTCTTTTGCACTGTTCATTCTGGATTTGATTCCCGTCATGTTCTCGTCTCGGTTTAATAAAACTGGTGAGATTTTCGAGCTTTTAAGCCGACGTGGAAAATAATTTTCTCCTGACGTTTCGCACTGGGGCGAAAGCCACCTTTTGCACTACTCTGAGGATGCAAGCCACTCGTACTTGCGAAACGTTAGTAGGAATTTTTTTCTAGGACGGCTTAAAATTCCGAAAAACTCACTAGTTTCAGTTACGTCTCGGTTCAGTCTGGAAAATGTCCAATCGGAAAACTTTACTCAATATTGATTTGATGGATTTGAATTGGTAAAAAAATCCCTTTTAGGTTCATGGGTTTCTCGGTCAGTAGATAATGGCAGAAAATAAGAATATTATTTTTCATAGACAGGTTTCAGCAGTATTTCAGACATCTTCAGGGCTCCAAATGGAAATCCAAAAAGAACACTTTCAGTCTAATTAATTAATTAATTTATTAATTTTCAACAAAAAACGGAAAATCAGAATGAAATCAAATATTAGGTACAAAGGACACAGCGATGTTGTTTAACAGTAAATTAAAAAAAACAATGGCATAAAGAATAATCGTTGGTATCGAAGACAGATACAATCATAAATTGGGACGAGGATTCAGATACAATAAACTTTGCGTTTTCATTCACTTCTTCCCTACTTTGTTTCTGGAACTTTGTTTTTACTTTGTTTTCCCTTTTCAATACACTTTTAGATCAATCTTTCCCAAGTTGCAGTAGTTTTCCAATTCATTTTGTGTGGAAAACTCAATAAAATTTTAAATGATGTTTTCAATTTTTGTGGGGCTTGTTTTCCCCGGATTATTAGTTTTTTATTACATCACTCTGTATACGATTAATGGATCCTTTACTAATTTGGAAAGGCAATAGTCAAGGCTAAATCAGAGAGGATATTTCCAAATCCATCACGAATTTAGTAACAGATCTCTCGTTTCTCTCGCTACTTACTCGGATTGGTACATAGAGGATAAATTGCAAAATGTATTTATATTTATATAGAAAAACATTAATAATTGGGAATTCCAGTTGAACAAAAGCTGAAGAAGCAGGTTATTCACCTGTCCTGATGATTTATTTCAAACGCCCGCTTTCAGTGATTTGTCTATTGGAATTTATGATAATTTGTTCCTATTGTTTTGCTCAATCTTTGTGTGCATTGTCGCACTTCTCAACATTGTTAGCAATTGTGGAAAACACTGTATTTACATGGAATTGATAGTCGGGGTTATTGATTAGCCTTTAAATTTACATTACAAATTTAGTTTAACTTTTATCAGCAAAATTACTGTTCCGCTTCATTGGCGTGCTCAGCCTTCTCTACGTGTACATCAGGTCAATTTCCACTTTTCCTAGTTCGACGAAAAACCTATAAAAACATTATCAGGTAAACTTTTACTCGCATTGGAAAGTATCAATGTGAACCGTCGCGATTTTAAAGCACCGGCGATTAATTGTTTCACTAACAAGGAACGTGTTCGATTGACCGCAAAGACAAACGAAATTGTGTAATGAAAAGTAAGCGTACTCGCACGCCAATGTTGTTGACCATTAGGTTGATGCAAAGCAGGAATTTTTACTTATGCCCGCAAGTGAAGTTAATTTAAATAATTGATCACCTTCATGCAAGCTAACACGCACAAAAACCTCACTAGCTTTGAGATTTTTTCGAGCTTTCAGGCAGTCCTAAAAATAATTTATTTTCGAAGGTTTTTCAGAAGTGTGTTTTTAAACTGCGGGTGCCATACACTGATTCGCATCAATTAATTGAAACTGGGTTTTCCATTCAGGAACGTAGCGCATAGCTCAGGAACGTAGGTGATCTCACTTGCACACACCGGATTGGAGGAGAGACGCAATATGGCCTGCACGTTGCTTGGTTCGAAATTGATACCTTCGCGGCTAAAAATATTTCAGTTTCGCCCTTAATGCCTGACAAACGTCGAGCGAAAGTTCTTTTTCTCAATAACTTAAAAACCCGAAAAACTCACTAGTTCATACAGGGTGGACTACAAGTAATCTAACAAAAAGGCAAATTTGTCTTATTGGAAACTTGATAGCTTCTATTGCTTAGTTAACAAAGTTTCTATTACTGAGCGTGTACTTTCTAAGGATGTTAACTGCAATAGCCCGGAGGCATTTAAAACATTAGAAAATTTTCGGTTTTTTTAAATATTGATTTTTTTGGCAGTATCTCGTTATCCGGAGCGTCTTAAGCGAAAAATATGTTTCTCACCGTTTTCGAGATATTTATCATGTAAAGAAAACTTTTACTAGCAGAAAAAAACTTTAGAAACAGAAACAAATCCCAAAAAAATAGCAGAAAAGAAACAACAACAGAAAAAATGTCAACAAGAAGCTTTAACAAACGTAAAAATCTACAACAAATACCGTTAACAAACACATTAGCTTGCAGATGAACATAGATGGATAAAGTTTGGATATTTTGGACAAAAAAAGTGGTGCTGAGCTCTTTGGACACACACTGATTGCTGATTTTTTTTTACTTATCGATTGATCAGATTTTGTGAAAAAATCAGTGTCGTGCCTAAAGGCTAGACTTGGATGAGAGCAAAATGAAAATTGTCCTGAATTTGAGAATCACACGAGCCGTTAAAAGGAAACAAACGAAACACCATAATACCACCAGAAACGTTGTGCTAAAACATCTTTCTAACTCAGTGAAAGTGCGAATAAACTATTCAACATTTCATTGTCTAAAAGTCAGTACGTCGTTGGGCTTGGAACTTCACTGGAAATCCAGTCGCCATCGACGTTCGTGCTTGTTGAGGTTGAGATCGAAATTTGCCAATTTTCATTTTGTTTTCTTGGTTGATTTATTTAAAGCTTTCGAGCATATAAAACTTAGGCATCCATACATCTCCTCCACAGCAAACTTGCAACCTAATCAAAACCTTCTAAAATATGTAGAAGACAAATTCGTCAAAACGAGAACGTCAAAATATTGGAAAATTTTTAACTAAGGTAAGTTCCTTGCCGATTATGCAGTTAAAGTGCACTTTTTCCTCATTGAAGTCGTCTAAAATGACCGTCCAAAATAATCGGCAAACGCAGTTCAAAATTCAGTGACCTCATTGCAAGTGGAACACCATAAATGAATAAAATTTTTCCAGTTCGGCCAAGCCAAAGCTGTTTTTTGGCAACCTTAAATTCGGTTTCATGTCGCATTGTCTGAATGATGAATCGCGTTTTTCCCGGTAGTTCGTTGAAAGAAAGCCGATAAATGCCAGCGGCCACTCAAATCCAAGTTCAGAAAACTCTTTATGGGATTTATCAATAAACCAGTTATCCAATAAGGAGAAAATCAAATTAATTACCAAAGCCACCACACCTGTGCGAGCAAAGCTAATTTAATGCCTTGCAGCTGGGCAACCTGTTCGCGTTGAAATAAAACGTTAGAATTTTGAGATAATTGTTGCAAAACTATGCTAAATAGAAGAATTAATGCACGGACTGCAAAAGCAGTCACGTTTATGAATTTCATTTGCAAACCCGTGAACACAGATCTGACGCATTTCCTTCAAAATTATTGACACAAATCAATAACAAAAGCCTCATCTAAAATGCAAAATATACACATTACCTTAGTAGTACAGAACGGATTGCGAGATAAAAATTTATTATGTTCCAAAGTTCCTTTGCAATGAGCTGGATTTTGCGATTTTGTTTTAATTATCATCGACAATTTTTTTAAAATTATTATTTGTGAATAGTTTTTGTGTTTGTACTGTCCACTTTTCCTAATCCATTAACCCCCAAAATTTCTTGCGAAAATTCGAGAGCTTCGAGTTCTAAACTTGTTTTTTAAAAAGCTTTTTTTCATCGCACGCCTTAAACGAGGACAAAATTAAAATTGGGGTGTAAATTGCTTTAAGGAAATGTCCACAGTATAAAACCCAATCTCAAGAGATTGACTTGTTGGCCTGAAAATGTTTGGTGACATGAAAAAAAAGTAACTTTTGGGCTTCATCAGAGCCAAGCAAAGTTTTCGCGGCCATTGCTTGGAACTGATGGGTTTTTCGAGCTTTCAGATCGAAAAAGTTGGTGAAAACATTTTTTTCCAGGTCTTTGCAGCCACTCCTTGCGAAAGATCAGAAAGAAATGCCCAAAAAACTCATTAGAAACTGATGAGTTTTTCGGGATTTCAGGCCTGCGTGGTAAAGATTTTTTTCTGACGACTTTAAATTCCGAAAAAACATCAACATAAAAAGTTTTTAATGAATTTTTTGTACCGAGCCTTTTGGGCACGACAGAAAAAACGACTCGTGGAAAAGAATTTCTTCCTAGCGCCTTACGATCCTTAAAAACTCATCAGTCTTTAAAAAATGTGTTGTAGCGACACTGGTTTGGACACTAAAAAGCCCTAAACTTGCCAATTGTTCAACTTTAGCTCTCCATCAATGTTGCAAATCGTTACAAAAAACTTATTAGAAACCGGGTTTTTTTCGCGCTTTCAGGCCGTTCTGGCAAAAAAAATCTTCCTGCCTGCTTAAAATCGCCAAAAAATCACCAGTCTTCCCGTCGCTTTGTTCATAAAATTTGTTAAATTTTTTCGGTCACAAAAACACATTTTGATTTGATTCGAAGGCCTTAAGAATGAAACCAAAGTTTGGAGTGAACAATGGGGCAAAACTTTCGGTCACCGGAAGCTCTTAAGCATGAACTTTCGAACTTGGAGAGACCAAAAAATTCATCACGTGGACAAAATATTTTAAACAATTTTAAGAGCCCAAACAGAGAAGCTACAGAAACAGAACAGCTGAAAGATTTAAGAAAACTCAGGTTTCCGCAGAAGCAGAAATGTCAGCCTCTTTAAAACGATGCGAATAAAAATTGGCAAACGAAGAGAAGCAAGTGAAATTAAAGAGGAATTATGGAGGACGTTTTGGGTGCATCCACACAGTAAAAGCGTCCTCTAATGCGCTCTTCGCCCGACTTATGGACAGCAAATTCGCAGAATTTTCCTGTTTTTCAGGCAAATTGATGGTAGAGAATTTGAAATAACCAATCGCGACATTCAAATTGAACCCTGACAATGGAAAAACCAGACAAAAAATCACACTGTAACTGACCTGTGCAGGCAATGTTGCGTGAAACCAACCAAGTGTTATATCAGTGGCTATTTGGTAATAATCCGCAATGATAATTCCGGCGAATTTCCATGAAAACCTTGAATTCAATGAACACTTTCATGATTTTTGCAAAAAATCCGCTCCAACGTGACCATGAGTATGGATACGATTCGGTTAGTGGAGCGTGGACGCAAGAAAAAATCGCGTTTATTTCAATAAACCGTACTACCGGTTACTCAAGCTCGCTTTGATTTCAAGCCAAATTCAAGTTTGCTTTTGTTTGACTTGATAGACTTTCCAATTAATTATTTCTACATTACTCGAAAATTTTGTATTATTATTCTAAAAATAGTCGCAAAAAAATAATGAAAACAGTACACAGAACACGCCTGAATAAAATGCGGAGAACCGTCGGAAATTTTTAAAACAGACTTTTGTTTGTCGGTCCAAATAGTGTTAAAGAAACAAACAATACGATTAGAACACGAATACAAACAGAACGAGGAAAATATGGAGAAATTAAACGTTGCGATACGCTTAATTTATCCGATGAAAAAAGTTCAAAGCTTAAGTTTTCGCAAAGATCGCTTGAAGCTGGAGAACCATCGAGCTTTTCAGATCGACTCATGCTTGCAAAACGCCAGAAAAAAGCTCCTTTTCGGGTCGACCAAAAAGAGCGAAAAACGCTCCAATTTCAATGACAAACAACTCACCATCACCAACGACTGAATTTTGTGTGAAGCGTTTAAAGTGCCCTTCGGGAACGACATTCTTTTGGACACAAGGACAAGTTCTTCTGTTTCTCGCCTCCAAAAATTGCAAATTTTATGAACATTCAACCATTGCGCATATAAGCGAAAATAGCACAAAAACCCATCGAGTCTAACTCAATATTCCCATGGAATACATGATGGTTCATTAAAATTTTCCAGAAAACACTTACATTTACATGAAAAATGACTGATTTATGCAATTCACTTGGTCACGATTGTTTGACTAAAAGATCCCGGTAAATACACAAAACTAATTGCTAAAGCCCACACAGTTCGTGTACATTTTTTTAAATAAACTTAACAGATCGGACGAGAGTGGACCCGAAATTAACGTCCACCACATGTGCGAATGATCAATTTAAACTGTTATAAACAGTGCAAATCATGCGGTTATTTATATGGTTCTTGGGGAACTTGCAGTTGGACAAACGGGGAAAAAATAAATTATTTCAACTGGTGTCTCGTTGGAAATTTACTTTGCTCATCAGTCTGCATTTTTCCTTTATCTTCTAAACAACTCTGTCTTCCATTCTATCTAAATTGAGCAATTTGCATCAGATTTTAATAATAGATAAAGAGGATTTTGCATTTCATTACCTATATGGGATTACATCTGGATCGAAAATTTTAGCTTGAATCAACCATCATTCAACCAGGAATCCGCATTTTTAATGAACGTGGAAAAGACTTTTTAAATTGGACGCAAAATTCTCTAATCAATCTGTATATGGAAATTTTAATACTCTTCGACATTTAGCAATGAAAACCTACAGCAAATTTAAGCACTCAAAGCTTAAAGAAATACGTACAGGGTGAAGAACAGCTTTGGGCCATGGAGCAATTTAATAGCAACCGAAAATTTTAAGTTTCCTCGAGAAGTTTTTAAGGCTGTTTGCATCGCTGAGTAAATGTGGTTTGGGCAGCGGTCATTCTTGCAGTAAAAAATATAAGGAATATTAAAAAAAATGTATTAAAATTTAAATAGAGTTTTTCGGAGTTTTAGCCTGTCTTCAGACATTCAAATTTTCCAGTCGTTTACCGACTGGTTTTCTAGAACCAACTTTTCAACTGAATAAAAACTAGCGATTCGATTTGCATTTGCAGTTTTATTTAGTGCAATTCTTTTTCAGTTTGTGGGTGTTTTTGCAAAAAATTGTGCTTCATATTTTTTACAGGGTGGCAAATGAATCAATGCAAAATTGGGAAAAAAACCGGTTTTTTGAATTTCAACACCACAGACTCGAAAAAAGTTTTAGAATTTTTCCTTCATCTCGTTCGGCACTGGCAAAATACGTGACGACCAAGTAAATGATGAAAACCCCTTAAAGCCACTAAAGAATCTTGAGAATGGTGTCATGAATCGAGAATATTTACCTAAATAGAGGCAGAAATTTGCCATAAACAACCAACAACATACTCACTGAAAATTTCGCAGATTAAATCCAAAGTTCTCGTTCTCGACTCTTCGAAGTCAAAGACAACACAAGCAGATTCTGGATGGACAATTAGAGAACCAAACTAAAACCCCGAAACGTTCGTTTAGGTACCCGCTATTCGTTTGACTGCAAATACTCCTTAGGAATACATGCATTCATTCACTGCGCGTACCACAAAATATACTGAGCTAATAATAAATTCCAGCAAAAGAAGTGTTCTTAACCATCCGCTGGAACCTTCAACATTCGTACCCGAACCAAGAGAGGGGCTGTAAACAACCATACTCAGAGAAATGGCATAACGGAAGCTTTCACCGCTTCGATTGATTTGGAAATTTCGAATGGACCGTGACAATACGGAAATGTTTTCAACGTTTTGGTTTAGCCATCGTTCGACATCTTCAGATTGTTTCATTGCGCCTTTTAATGGAAACACAGCCAGGCAAACCAAAAATTGTTTTTGATCTGGTGTTGAGACACATTCTGGAGTATTTTGACATGGTTTTTGATCCGCTAGTTCACCAAGGAATTTTTTCTGAACCGACCAAAGTCTTGTAACTTTTTGTCTGTGTGGCTCTGTTAGTAGTTTTATTGGGACTTTTCGATTTATCTGAGCCGACTTTCAGTTTTATTAATGGGTCCAAAAGGTGAATCAATTATTGAACTGGTGAGTTTTTTTGGGGTAACACGCAAAACTCACCAAAGCTTTTTAAATGTTTTTAAAACTTTTTGTTGCTTCCATACTAGAAGAGTTAAAACCGCGATTTCCTTCCTCAACATAAAGAAGAGTGTTCGGAAATCGATCAGGGAGTTCGGTCCCAAGCGGCGCAAGAAGAGGCTTTTGAGAAGTTTTCAAACTCCACCTGGAGATTCTTGAAGCACAGTGCGGATAATTTTTTTTTATTTCCAAGCTAGTAGACATAAGAGCGCGATTTCTTCCTCAACATGAATGAGAAAATGATGATGTGTATTCAATGTGATCGGTGAATTTCCTCTTAATCGATGGAGGAAGAGATTTTTGCGAAATTTTTAAAGTCCACTTGGAGACTCTTGAAGCGCAGTGCGGATTAATTTTTTTTATTTCCCACTAGAGATAAAATTTTTTTCGGCGATTTTTTTCTTCAACATAAAGAAGAGTGTTTTGAATGTGATCGGTGAGTTTCGTTTCAATCGATGGAAGAAGCCATTTTTGAGAAATTTTCAAATTGCACGTAGAGTTCTGAAGTGCAGTGAAAATTAAAAAAAGTTGTTTGAAACTAGAAAAGATGCAAGTGCAACTTCGTCCTCAACATAAAGAACAGTGTTTGAATGTGATTGATAAGTTTGGTCCCAATCAGTCCGAGAAGAGGTTTTTCGGAAGTTTTCAAACTCCTAGTGGAGATTCTTCAAGCGCAGAGCGGATTAAAAAGATGTGATTTCCAAACTAGATGAGATGAAAGCGCCATTTTGTTTCTCAACATGAAGAATAGATTTGAATGTGATCGATGAGTTTGGCCTCCATCGGTTAAAAAAGAGATTTTTGAGAAATTTTCGAACTCCACCTCGAGATTCGTGCAGTGCAGTGCAAATTAAAAAAAAACAGTTTTAAACTAAGAACACAAGCGCGGTTTTTGTCCTCAACACAAGAGTGTTCTGAATGTGATTGGTGAGTTTAGTCTCAATCAGCCCGAGAAGAAGTTTTTGAGAAATATTCAAACTCCTCGTGGGGATTTTTGAAGCACAGTGCTGATGTAAAAAAAATGTTGGTTTGAAACTAGAAGAGATGCAAGCGCAATTTTCGCTCTCAACATGAAGAAGACTGTTCTGAATGTGATTGAAGAGTTTGGTCTTATCATCAGAAAAAGATTTTGAGAAATTTTCAAACTCAACTTTGAGATTCTTGTAGCGCAGTTGGGATCTGAAAATTCGTTTGTATTCAAACTAACAGTAATAAAAAGGCAATTTTCTTCCTCAACATGAAGAAGAGCGTTTGGAATGTCTTTCTGTTTTTGTCTAATTTAGTCTCAATTGGCACAAGAAAAGGTTTTTCAGAATTTTTCAAGTCCAGTGCAGTCATGATTTCAAAAATTTGTTGCTTTTATACTGGCAGAGCTAAAAGCGCGGATTTTCTTCCTCAACACGAACGAAAATGTTTTGAATCTGATCGGTGAGTTTTTGAGAATTTTTACAAACTTCACGTGGAGATTCTTGAAGCGCAGTCCGGATTTCAAAAATTTGTTGTTTCCAAACTAAATGAGCTACAAGTTTTATTTTCTTCTTCAACATGAAGTAGGGTGTTCTGAATCTTATTAGCGACTTTTGTCTGAATCGGCCTACCAAAGGGTTCTTGACAAATTTTCAAACGTTAAGTGGGAATTCTTGGATCACCGTTGTGATGGGAAAAAGTTGCAAAATCTTAGTCGAATGGATGATCCATAGATACGATATCAATTCGGCTTTGGGGTTTTATTCGATACTAAGCGCACCAAACAGATGCAGCAACACCTGAGCAACAAGCGTTTTTTCAGTCCCAGTTTATCGGAATAATCTAATCTAAAGAACCGATTGAGTGTTGAAATCGAGTCAAGTTTGTTTTTCCCGATCAAGGAAAATGGTTGCATTCTGAATGAAACCAATAGAAAGCAGTCCGATCGAGAGTTTTTACCGTTTTCTGTATCATGTTAACACAGAAATCGAATTTTTACACTTAGTTTGAGCCGGCCATGAATTTTTCCGCCAGAATATGGCTTTTGGTTAACCGACCATGGAAACAATAAAATACCATTCCGAAGCACGATTTGTATTATTAGTTCCTGATGCTGGAAAAAAATCAACCGGGAACGACCATTTTCGTACTACCTGCTTGCATTTTTGAGGATATTAAATATTAAATTAACGGTGAATCAAATTAAATCAAATCAAATTTTGGTGATTTGACTGGTTTCCTCACGCGAAGTCGAATCGTGAAAAAATACAAAATTTCGACTATTGATGCTGCTCAATTCAGCCATAGGGAAAACAGGTTATTTATTTTCTGGCATGAAATAAACAATTGTGTTTTTTTCGTTTCCTATGCGAATTGAAATAACAGCCTTGTTGATCGATGATTTGCACGACTCATTTTCAACAATATATTATTCCGTTATTTCACATCAGGCCCTGATATTAATTAACCATCAAATACTGGTGTTTTCCCTGCAAACAATGTGAAAACCCACATTGTCCCATCAAATGGGGTTTCGTCACACAGCGGTGGGACTTAGGAATATGCCGATTCACATCGCGGTTAAACGCCTTAATTATAATCCGCACGTGAATACATTTCTGTAAATACTTGATTATTTGTGAAGTTACTTGAATGTTAATGTACCTACTTATAGTCTGTACAAGCTTTTTGCCAGTAACCCAATAGTTGTCGTTCTTTTTCCATTATTCGTCCAGCGAGCGAGAGAGCAACTTGATGTTATTAACGTATGTTTCTTGATCAAATTGTTGTTTTCAGGTACCAAAACTGTATAACAACAAAAAGTAACAGCAGTTAATTTTGATCAAATACAGTTCCTTATTTTTTCTTCTATTTTCTTCATCATTTGACTGCACGTTTACAACGCCGAAAGTTTAACGCCCAAAGTTAACGTCAAGAACTGCACAATTGAGACAAAGTTTTAACGAAACTGAAGGCAGTGATTTGATTGTTTACAATCTACAAATTTTACCTCACTTTGAAATCATTTTCATTTCATGTTGTCGACCGTTCTCGTGAAAGGCGAATTGAAATTTTACAGGAACAAACAGCATTTCCACACTTACATCAAGCAATACTAATAGCAAATGTGCAATTTATCAGCAATGAAAAAAAATACGTTGTTAGAACTTGTATAAAACTTAATAAATAATTAATAAAATGCAATCTAAATTTTCAAATTGCCGGGATAAAACGCTCAAGCTGGCAAACAGGCTCAAGTTGTGACGTCACTGCCAAATAGCTTGGGCCAACCTATAGATTTGTTGGGATAATCCAGACTGATTGATGGCTTTGAACCGCAAATAAAAAATATATAATTGTTTCAATTAAAATGAAATACAACTAAAGGCCTCATGACATTTCTGTTGCAATTTAAGAAAAATTGGTCAATTATTGCCCACCATAATAGCAAATCTATATTCGAAATCTGTTTATGCAATTACCATAAAATATTTTAAGGCGCATTACTCGCTTTCTTCTTAATATTGTGATTGCTCTGAATTAATTAACTTTATTGGCAAAATTATGTTTTTCGCAATTTCTTCATTGTCGAAGATTGACGCAAATGAAACGTTTTTCAGCTGAACAATGTTTCAACTGCGGAAATGCGTAACGCTGCTTTGCAAGATTATCTTGAGCCATTGAGAATTCGGATTTCGAAACTTTGAATTCTTCGAACTTTAACTTAAAGCATTTTCGTATCAAAGTAAGATTTCGTAAGAGCATTTATTGTTCAGAGAAGAATGTACACATTAGTGTTACTAAACGTTTGAAAACCCTGCTTTTCTTCACTTCTTTCTTCCTGAGCTTTCTTATAAGCCCTTTTAGGAGATCCGGTTCGAAGGACCACTTTTCCGATCGCCGCCTGACAGTCATTTTAGAGCTGAAATGAGAGCAAATATTCGATGAAACTGCACATGAATGTACATATATTGTTCAATTGAAATGGCTTGAAAGCAATAAGGAAATTTCGTTTAAGATGAAGACGCATGATGAATACCATTAAAAACGCATTAAGTATAAACTGCTAGCAGGAAATGATCGCGCGACATCTCGGTATTCGAAAGAGTAGGCGAATAAGTGGTGAATCCAAGGCAATAAGCGATGAAGTGCTTTTATTGATATAGAAATTGGAGTACAGATTGTATTATCGCAGAATATTTAGTGCAGCTGATGGAACCAAACTTTTTTTAAAAGTTCAGCTATAAGCGAATTTACCCAAATTATTAGCAAAAGACGAGGGCGTTTGATAGTAGGTACGTGACTGGCATCAGAAACCGTTTCATACATTTGTCTTGTAAATTGTGAGTACTCAGAAATCATTAATCTTGCTCAGGTCACTGAATTTTTGAACTACAAGTTTACTTGTCCTGGTACAATTCACGCATGCTTTTCCTCTTTTTTTTTAATTAAATTTTAAATTTTGTTTTACCCTTTCATCGACGTCAGGACATGCCATGTGTTAAGCCAACATTGTAAATGCGAAATCGCTAGAATACAATCGAACTAATGAATTGGAGGTTATAAAAGTAACCATTCATCTAATTAGGGCAGATGCTGTAAAATCAATCAATAAATGTTATCTTGCCTTACCAATGCTTTTACCTACATGGGACTAAGTTTGACGACTTTTTCGCTTAACTCTTATTGTTTTCGGATATTTGCTATTAACTCAAATACAATATTTTTTACCTGCAAAACATCCAAATGTCGGAATTTTTCACTCAAAAAGTGGTGATTATTTTTTTAAATCTTCGGAGCGAGGTACAAGATGCGAGGCAAGAAAGTTGAATTGGAAGACACTCAAAAAACCTTTAGCTAAAAAACTTTTCTTTAAAAAACCACAGCCACTAAAACCAAAAATTTGAGTACAAAAAAATCCATGTGGTTTGGGAACTAATAAAAATAGAGTTAATTTTCAATTATTAATCGAAGCTTTTAGGCCAAAAAAGTCAACAAACTGATTAATCAAATCCTTCGGATATCTATTCATATTCACTAAATCCAGATACAAACAAAATTAAAAATTCTGCTATTTATAGACATGAAGTGCTCAATATCAGTATTTATAATATCTGACTATCTTGTATCTATATGTCAAACGGTGTATCTTTTAAACCTTGGAATATTTAAATGCGACTTAAGTATACGTGATTTCTGTATAAATATCAGATACCAGATATCTGTGTGTAAACGTGTCTCGACGTCGGAGCTGTATCTACGAGTAATATCTAGTTGGTGTTAGGTGGCAGGTGAGAAGAAAGATTTTTATCCCAAATTGCAACATAATTTTAAAAAATCCAGATTTATTGTTTTGAAAGGCCAGTACACCGGATCTGGAGCGAAATATTAAGAGGTAATACCTGCAAATTGTCTTGAATGCTCTCGTCTCGCTACCAGTATTTGCAGAAAGCTTTTCTAATAAAAAGTCCGATAAGCACGAGAATTGCGAATAAATGTTCAACGAACAGTTTGTAATACCAAAATAACAGCTAAAGGAAAGGGCAAATATTGCATTAAATACTTTATTATATTTTGCAACGGAACAAAATCTTCTGGAACTACTTTAGAAGCATTATTGCATATTTGGAACAACTGCAATCAATTCCGTTACGATATTGACGTATTTAAAGATTTCAAATAAAATTTGTCAAGTGTTTTCTAGGAACGCTTTAAACAGGCAAAACTTAAACGTTAATTGGACTTTAAATATAGATACATATTTGCGCCAAGAAGGCATGAATCAACGAAAAATCTTAATTGCATAACCAGAGAAAGTAAAATGTACAGAGCAGCACGAATTCGATTGCCAAACACCTTGGGCACAGGACTTAACAGTCAACATTTTTCTCTTTGAGGATGATTGAAAAATCTAATTTTAAAACTTTTCTAGAAGAGAAAAACTCTGATATTTTGCTGATAAAGAAAAATTGTTTATAGAAAGTCATGGCCTAGACGATCCGATATTTTCGCCTCTGATGCTGCTATCAACGTGGTATCGTCTGCATGTCCCAGGTTTATTATATGATTGGCCGTAGTCGAGATAGCTGAATTCCAACCTTCCAATGCCTTCATTATTATTATATAGTTTTCATAGATGTTAGATATTTGAAGAGATCATTCATTTCTAGCAAAAGCCCCCACAAACTGATTTAAAAAATCCGGGAAAGTCACAGAAATTTGCCCTCAAAGTGAATTTTGTAACATTTACAGTAACGAGAATTTCGTTTCGACAAGAATTTCGTTCATAAAAGGCAATCTCAAGAAATTTTTGTTTTTTCCAAGACGAACTTTTGAAAAAATCACAGAAATTTGCCATAAAAACGCTTTTTTGTCACTTAAAGTAACGAGCATTTGCTTTAAAATGGCATAAAGTGTAGGTTGGACCGATTTGTCCCTTTTCCAATACCAGTGCATGTTTGAAAAAATTTTAAACTTTCTTAGACGAAGTTTCGAAAAAGTGCTATTTGCCAACGGAAAGTTCAACAAAATTCCTAGAAAATCACAGACAATTGCCATGAAAGTCAATTTTTTCACACTTAAAGTAGCGATCATTCTCTTGTAAAGGGGATAAAAGAGAGGCTTGAGGATTTTTTGCTTTTTCTGGACGAACTTTAAAAACCGCCTGTTGTATTATCCGACCGTTGATGTACAAAATTTGAAAAAAAACCTGCGTTAAAAAACAACCGAACATTCTGCAATCCTGCAAATTATCCCTTTAAAAAGAGAATTCTTACTGTTCTGAGTGAGAGAAAGTTACTTAAATGGCGCTTTCGTGGGATTTACTAGAAATTTTTTCAACCACACCATGGCAACTAGACTGGAAATTCATGAAAATTTCAAGGAAAGATCTCTTTCTGCCAATTTCCAGCCAGTTTTTCAAGAACTTTTCAACAGATCAGAAGTGCATGCAAAACTTGCCAACTCAAAAGAGGGAAACTCTGAAACAAGTAACAATTTTCGCAAATCGTTACTTGCAAAACGCAAAAAATCTGTCCAACAGAAGAAAGCAGCTAAAATTCACTTCTTTCTCGCGTTAGTATGCCATTTCCCAGTTACTTGAATCAGTCAACAAGACCTATTGGTAATCGAAAAAACAGATGATCATTTGAATATCGGTTTCTGGGCGTTTTTTTTTATGAGTTGCCGTAAGTTTAAGAGATCAGTTAAGATTTTAGAACCTCTTTTATAGCGCTTCAGTGCCCATGCATCCTCTACCTCTGTTCCTCTCAATCCTCAAACTCATTCATATTAACAAATATCTCCTTTTGAATCTTCCGTGGATCTTCGAACAGTCCAAACAATTCGCAACCCTGGTGAAGCACTCAGCAACAAAGAAACGTTTCAATTATAAAAATGATAATCCGAAAAAACGAACTCCTGATGAAAACCGCGTAAAAAGACTCCTTGATTCGAGTTTTTTCCAACCCCTGACTCACAGAATTCATAATGGAATTATCTAAAAGGGAAAGCGTATCTAATGAAGAAATTATTCAACAACTGAAAAATGCGCAAATTAACACTAAAAAAACAGTCTCCTTGTAAACGTTTGCAATGGCAAATTAGAGAAAGGGTTTATTGGTTTCCTTAGTCCTGATATGATGATTTGCAAGGCTGTATTGTTCAGAAACCATATAGATTATAGATAATATTACACAATTTCATTAAGGTTTGAATTTCCAGGTTTTTATGAGCAATTTAAACCTGAAAGTGGAATCCTACTTTTTTTCAGGTTTGGATTAAAATAAGATATTAACCAGTAATTTATTAGTGTCTTTTATTTATTTAATGGAATGCCGGTTACATAAGTTATACCGGCTGTCTTGGACGAATTTTGAACAACAACAACTTCCTCTAGCTGTTGAGGTTATTGCCAGATAGAAAGTTGATTTCGATGGCATTTTTATTCTTCCACGTATTTCAAGAACAGCAAACGATTGAAGACAACACACGGCAATTGTCGGGTTGCTAACAGCGCTGAAAATTACCGATAATAGTTGTGGGACAACCGGTATCCACTTAATTTCTCATTTAACCAGGTGGACAGATCGGTATCTAATAAATTACTGGAAAATTAATACGGCGCGGTCTTTTTGTCTTTTCGCCTTTTATAAAACCATTTGGCTGAGTCCAATCTCAGTTAATTTCGAGGTTTTCGTTAAGAGAAGAAGGTCCTTTTGATTATTAGCGATAAAAGTGCCGCGCTTTTGAAGGTTTCTTGCTCAAATTCACCGAACAGGTATTTGTATATTAAAAAGGTTTTTGAAACGAATAATATGAATCCAGATATGTTAGTTAATCTATTTAGACTGAAAGTGGCCCAAATTGAACAAATTTTCAAAGCTTTGTAAATCAGGAACGAAGGATTTTTCGCGATATTTTAGGCAACATTTTCTGTTTGATGCCAAAATGAATTAAAAGTCCTTTTGAGTTGTTTGTAGTGGTGCAAAGAATTTTCTCACACTTTTGAGGTAATTTGCCATCAAGCATCTGCAGGAAGTTCGCCGTTAGTGAAATAATTTTCTGTGGAGACTTTAAGCAACATGAATACTTTAGAATTGAGCTTAAAAATAGAAATCAATTTCTCAAGTTTCTGGAAAAGTTTCAATTCTGTTCAATAATTCCTAAAATGTTCCTTACAAAAATTTATTGAACACGCAAACTATTTCAATTAAAAATTACCTTAAGCTAATTTATGGAATATTCAAATAAATGTCAAGTCCCTTTTTATCTCAGTCAAGTCAAGGCGAAGAAATGTGCCAAGGATAGAAGAATGAGCCATTTCTTCTTATTTGTACTAAAATAAGATTGAGTACTATATTCCATTCACACTTCTTGATAAGTGTGTAAATATCGCTATCTAAGCTGAGAGTATTTATTTGGGTCGCTTTTTCATACAAAAACCGACTACAGTTTGCATCTACCACTAGCTTAGTTAGGTTGTTTTTTTAGTGTTTTCGGGGTTTTGATGAGCGATGGTGGACGTTGTGGTGCTTCATCATGATAGCAGCGATTCTGAAGATGTTGGTGACGCAAATATCGCAAAAGCCACCGCAATGTGTGTCTTGTTCGTTTGCTCATTTACACTGGGTTGTATACCGATCAAGCTCACCCACTGGATGTTGAGGAAGGATAAAAACGCCAGCAATCCCGAAAGTAATAAATTCGTGAAAATGCTGCTCGGTACGTATTTTTTTTCACCTTGGCGTCGAAAGCTATTGCAACATTCTGATCAATAATAATTACAATAATCAAGTGGGAATTAAGCATTTACATCCTGGGTTTTTGTCTGCCACTTCACGCAATCATTTTTCTTGGTTATTTGGAAAATGCAATTGAATCTCGATGCGAAGTCCAGTAATTAGTCTTCATTCCATTCAACCGGTTTATTTGGTTTTTATAATTCGATTTCAAATGCAAATAATTTGTTTTTTTGTGATCTCTTGCCAGCCGCTAACGGTGGTCTTCCGTCTTTTGTACACCGAAATTGCTTGTTTTGCAATAAATCGGTTACAGTTTTTAATGCCAGTTTTTAAATATTAATTCGATCTTGCTGAAACGCAATTATTAATAACAATCGTGCTTGATCAGGCATTGATTCAGGGTGTTAAATGGAAACAGTTGCATTGAAAATGTGCACATTGTACCCGCAGCGGGAAATTAAATAGAAACATTGTGATTACCTAAGTGTTAAATGTTTCGGCTTTTCTGCCTGTCTTGTAAATGAACTGATTTGTACTTTCAATTCTTCTCAAAAAAATCAAAAACATTCTCAGTTTCACAGGTTTTGTTTCTTTATAATCGAAGGCTCAAAAAGAATTGAATCATTTTTCATTACTGGAAAGTAAGCTCTTCTCACTTTTTTAATGGAAAAAACTGCACTTTTAAACAAACAGTTTCAACATTTACTTGTTCAGACTTCGTCTGATACACTCTCTATCGAAAGATTATCAATTGATATTGAATAAGCACACGGTCAAAATGCTACTGCGACATTTTATGGCCCGAAAGAAGAGGATTTGACCTACTTTTATTCAAAGAAAATATCTAGATTATCCGCTATTGACAGTCAAAGTTCTTCAAAAAAAAATTTTTGTATTATCAGGAGAATAAGATGGATTTAATTGAAATTTTCTGAGAATTTGTTGTGAACGTTGTTGAATGTGTCTACGTAAAAATAATTTTAATGAAGCGACGACGCTCATCTGCGTAAGGCAAGTGGCAAATTCTTGAGGCTCTTGTGGTACAAAAACTGCCATAACTTTTTTCTTAGTTGCTGGAATCAATTGGCTTTTGTCTCTGATGAAGATTAAAAATTTCCCGATATTTTCGTGCCACCGGTAAAATCTTGAAAGATTGATAGGTTTCTGTAAACAAATTTTTTGTGATTGGTTTTTCACTCAGCGGTTCAGAAACGGTCGCTTATGAGATAATCATCTAGTTCAAAACCCGCTTATGAGCCAATTGAGAATGATGCATTTTTTTACATTCTTAATCAACATTATTTAATCAAATACAATGAAATTATTGCAAAACTTCATGTTTTCCGTCCCGTTTTGCATGTTTCTCGGAAGCAAAATGAGCAAGAACGCTCATTTGTACATCATTCCATAGATAACTAAACGGCCTGTTTAGAAAGTAAACCATCGATGAGGAAATGCTGGCAGTTTTCTCAAACAATGCTTGAATTCAAGAAGTTTTAGGTTCGCGTGGTTTTTTTTT